TAAGGTTGTGTCCAATAAGCATAATATTGTAGGATGATGCCAATGCGAGAATTCTGGCATTATCCTTACCGCAGTACGTCTTTTTCATCCTTAGCCTCAAGTTCAAATCCTCCTTCTGCATCATCATGTCCAAGTTTGCGCTTCAGCATGACATTGAAAAGATTGAACGTTTTATGTAGTCGGCTGTATTCAGCTTCCGCTTCCTCTTCTCGAAGAAAACGATAATTAACTTCGGGTTTCATTTTATACCTGAATGAATCAAAGCACAGAGAGAAAAGCTCGTGAAAAAGGCTTCTTATGTAATCACAGAACAAATGCTCTCCTCGATCTAATGAGATCAAAGGAATATTTTAATGCTACCTGCTTTAAGGAAGTACATATACATTTAAAAAAAACAGGAAATATAGTGTACGACCAGCAGATATAGGAATAATAGAAATAATAGTACTATAATTAAATAAGCAAATAATAGCTTACCATTCACAAACTGGATATGCGTCAAAATTTCCCTCTTTGCATTGGCAAAAGACAAAATATTGCACATTGTCAGAGACTCCTCCCTCTCTAACTCCCCTAAATTTTCTAGCTGTGCGACCCTTGCCTATAGTGAACAGCCAAGGCTGGTCTTCCGGACGATATCCTTTGCGCGTAACACCATACTTACGAAGTCTTGCTTCTTCGCGCGCCTCTCGGCCGAATTCGCTACCAGCTCCTTTGGTGGGTGCATCTATTATGTTAAGACCGCCTTTGTATTGCTTTAAATTATTTTCCCTTTGCATAAACACTTCTGGAGGAAGACTACTTCCTGTAGGCGAAGAAAGGTTAACGCGGTCAGAAGCATGGAATCGGAGGACACTAAAACGTTTTTCCGCTCTGTTAGGGACTCGGACCTAAATATCAAAATGCGTAGTTTAATGTTATATGTAAAGTAGAACGAGATTTCAAATCCCTAAAGATCACCTGCATCTCCCTTATGATTGTTCGTTGCAGAGCTGGTTCCCTTTCACATGGTGATTGAGAAATGGGCAAAGAAATCTTGGAAGAAATCTGTCGGGAGATAGGGATAGCATTTGTTGAGCTGCCTGCTGAACCCAAGAGACGCTGCCGAGCAGTCAATTTAGCTGGATCCATAATTGGGGATATGTTACAAGAAATTGAAGGTGCACCAACAATTG